ACAGTCGAAAGCACTGGAAGTGGTGGCGGATGTGACTAAACCGGAAGACTTGCGACGACTTGTGGACACAACTGTCAAACACTTCGGGAAACTCGATGTATTGGTGAACAATGCTGGCGCCGGCACCGTAACATCCATTAATAATAAGGATTTCTACGAGACTTATCTGAAAATAATGCAAATAAATCTCAATTCTGTGGTCTATTTAACGCATATATGTGTCGAGCATTTGGAGAAAACTAAAGGAAATGTTATTAACATTTCAAGTATCGGTGGATTGAGAGCCGTTCGTATAATTATTAGATTAAAACACCAAGCAATTATAATATTTTATAACACTGCCAATTATCATAATAGGTCCAGGGTTTTACACCTTATTGTATGGCAAAGTGTGCGATGGATATGTTCACCAAATGTATGGCCGCGGAGTTGGGACCCAAACGTATTCGCGTTAATGTCATCAAGTAATTAACTTTTATAAAAAATAAACAAATAAAATACCAAAGATTATTAATTTAAAACACATTTCCAAACTAGCCCTGGTCCTATTCGTACTGAATTTATGGAGGCAATGGGAATGCCTAAAGAAATGGCTGATAATGCTATTAAGGCATGTGAAAACTTTACTGTGTTGGGTCGGGTGGGTGAGTCTGAGGACGTGGGCGACTCCATACTATACCTGGCCAGTGACCATGCTGCTTTCATCACTGGCACTAATGTTATTGTGGACGGGGGTTCTGTTGTGGCCTATAATACCAACGCAGATATTCTTAAGACTAACTAAAATTATTAATTTGAATAAAATATTTTTTAAAAAGCTAATGGTTCATTTGACATTAATATTATTTTTGAATTGTGAATGTTAGTATTTAATATAAAAATTTTTAATCATAATTTAATTTTTTAAAGTAGCTTAATGCAAAGTATGTCGACTTGTTAATAAATCCAATTTTGAAAATACTAATAAAAATATTTTACAAAATATTGACTTCAATTTAAATTACGACTTTACAATGTACTATATATGTTGATCTGATATTAGTAAACAAGATTAAAATTCAATTTATTGTTTACTGAATGTAAAATTGCTATGATTACTATTATCAAATAATTGTTTAAAATATAGAGAAATAGGGTTGGTGAATGAATAATTTATACTAAATTTACACTAATGATATATTTTTGCTTTTAAGTTTTCTATACTGTAGTATGGGATATACATTATGTGAAAGGTTGTTATGCAATATAATACGCTTGTCCGTATTTCTTATAAAAATTGTAGTGTATGCGTACGAGCAACTTAGTCAATACAGGTTTTAGTGCATACTAAGTACAGTATACTGTAATGAAATTGATAAATGCACTAACATTTCCTATCAGAAATATTAAACTTAATAACTATAGTATAATGTAAAATGATTGTGTCCTTGGTTGGTTCAAAATAAGATAAATTCAATT